AAAACTGGTGGAAAATTTATTAGTATTTGGTTTGTGCACAATGACAAGCAACAGACTTATTTGCATTGTTCCTTTGAATTGATTACATTGAGGGGAAATTATTTTAATACTATAAAGAGACAGCCTGAAAATATCAAATAAGTAGTTAAAAATCATTATATGAAAACTTTGTAGCTCTGCTGGCTGGGCTGGGCTGGAGTGAAGAAAGGTAAAGAATTATGACACAGCAAGAAAATGCTAGACTTGAAATTTTTTACATCTGCATTGTGGTGCAAGCATCTGCTCTAGGACTTTTTACTTGATTATTCTGGTCAGAATCGAATTAGGGTAAAAAGTAGTCAGTGTCAGAAATATTGAGGCCATGAGTTAGGAGTACATATAGAAAAAGGTGTGACAAAGCCAATGGAGAGAATTCTAACTTGGCTAGCTTAGATCCTTAATTAATGCTCTCATTCTTAATAATAGCAGAAGTAATGATAATAAAATTTGGAGTAAAAATGCCAGTATCCATAAAACCACACAAAACAAGAGCTGATGAGCAAACACTGTGCCAGTGGTTTCATCTAGTCACAGGAAAATTTAAAAAGTGAAAAAGATTAAGATTATATAATGAGTTTTCTATAAAGCTTAATTTACTCAAAGAATCTGCCCTTTCTCTTAGATTATATTCATGCCATGTTTTTAAAAAATTAATTCATTTTTGGTGACACAATGGTGATGATAGATGTTTTTCTATGTCCTTATTTCAGGCAAATAATGATTTTGCCACCTTAGGTTGATTTTTCTCAATTTCTACTTTTATTTTTTGGAAATTTCACTATTTTGAGAGTTTAGAAGTTTAGGAACTATTGTATGACAATGTTTAATTCTCAAATACTAATTTGAGGCAGATATTGCTGTTACTATCAAAATAAGAGGAAACTGAGCCCCACAGAAATTGTTTTAATTTGCCCAAAGCACCAAGCTATCAATATTAGAGTATGACACAAGCCACATCTGCCTGATTTCAGCACATATTTCTTACTACTACTAGTAAGGAAAGCACTTATTTTTAGTATTTTAGATCATATAAGGGAGGCTGAATTAGAAGCTCTGAACTAAATAAGATGGAGAAGCACAATCCTGGGTCATGTTTCTTTCTTGCTGTTGGCTCTTTCCCTCTTTCTAGGAAAATCACCTCCCCACTTGTTTTCCCTTTTAGAGATGTAGGGTTGGGAAAGACATTTTTATATTCATGGAGTGATCGATTCAACCATAGCACTTGTATAGGGACATTTCTATGATCTCTGTGATCCCCTACATGTCCATTTGAAGGGAGAGGCCCTACTCAGGGTCCTTTCTGAAGAAGGTTTGGACCTAAGCAGGAACCAGTGAATTAAATAAATGAGGTTGAGTTAGGAAATTGTAGTACAGTTATTCAATTTTTAAATCTCCATTTAAAAGAGAAACTTTCCTACCAGGCCACATTTCCTACCTTACTTAGTTCAAGGTCAAATTTTATTTCTGCTGTAGTGCTGCAATTGTCTCAAATCCAATTTACATCTGCTCCTGTTTTTAGTGATTGCTTTATTCTTTTCCAAGCCATCTCATTCCATCACAGGGTGAAGAAAAGAACATTTAGAAACCAGATGTTGTATTAACTATAACCATTATCCTTTATGGGATCCCAGAGGTTTAATATCTATTCATAAACAGGTGAGAAAGATACCAGCTTTCAGCTGAGCTTTACACTTAGGATGCTTCACTGAGAAGGGGGTGAAGGCTCTGCCATCCATCTGTCATGATGACCCGGGGAGGCTCATAATGGATGGGTATAGCCCAGCAGTTCAACCCTATCAGACCCAAAGCTTTCCTATTTGTAACATATTTTATGATACACCCTTTAATGTCCCAAAATGAAATTCACAGATAATATCAACCTACACAATTTCAACAAAAAGCAAAATGATGCCTGAACCATAACATAAAGAGAAATAAAAGGAGAAGAGTTTCTAATAAAATAACATGCATTACAAGATAGAATGCTGAGGCACAACTCTCCTAAAAAACACACTGAAGTGGTCGGATGTTTATACCCATGTGGAGAATCATGCGTGGTACAACTGCATGTACAACTGATGCAGATGCAGAGTAAAAAGATTCAAACAGCTCAATTAGCATCTCCACTGATGATGTGATTTTCTAAAACAGTAGAAAAGACTTGGTAAAGTTCTACCTTTTCTTCATTTGTATGGTAATTGCATCTCTGAAGAATTCGGTTTATGTTAAAATAGTGCAAAAACACTTTGAGTTTATAAACAAATTGGAGTTATATTCCAGACTTAGGTGATTATAAATAGGATTATTTCCTACTTGAAATATCTGGATACCTGACCCATACCCAATAAATGCCAGAAATACTCTCCCCAGTCATTGTAACAGTGCCAAATGTCTCCCAAATGCTATCTAGGGCCAGCACCACTCCACCCATTGGGAATGCTTGTTTGGGTTGCCTGAGGTCATTTTGGAAGGCAGGGATATGGGAACATGCGTCTCATGGAACTCTAGGCTCTAAGTCCACACACAGTTTTTCTTCAGAATCCCCAATTCAACCATAGCACTTGAAACTACACTGACTTTGATAAGCTGTCAAGAGAAAAATAGGTGGATTGTTCCCAGAGGTCTTGGTAAGATTCTTTATAATCAGCTTCCGGTTTCACTTATGTGGAAATGGTTTATTCCTGGAGTGTATATGCACCAGCACATAATCTTCCTCATGGAGATATCCTGAGATTAGCTTTATAACCCTGGGCATTGCATACATAGCATGAAGCACTATCCAGAACTGACGTGCACAAGTGGAAGAATGGCAGCGGGTAATGACACATTATTAGATACATTGGTTACCATGCAGAAATGCTTCTTTATCTGATAATATCATACTCAACAATAGGTTATCACTCAAAGATACCATTAGCCATGTGTCTGCCTGTAGCGTGTAAAGCCAAATTTGAACAAGAAAGTGTCAGTCAGTATTCTGAGCTGTCCTCATGCCTGGATTGGGTGTAAGTGGTGACATAGTAAAAGCAAATTTCCTCAGACCCAGATTCAAGCCTTTTTTGCTGGCCTGTGACCTTCAGTAACCTAAGTAATGTCTTTGAGCCTCCATTTCCTCATTAGTCAGTGTTTACAATAATGCCTGATTCATAGGCTTGTTGGAAGGATGAATGAGATAATATAGGTAAACCATGTGGCATAATGACTGACTCACAGTAAGTGCTCAGCAAATATTAACTTTGATTATTGTTGGAGTGGTGGTAATTATCTCCAATGAAGATCTTACAGAAGAAAAAGATTTTCTTTTAAAAACAAGTCTGTTATTTGATGTAGATGACCTTGAAGGAAGATAGAATTCCTCTTAGGGAGAGAACTGGTTTTTCGTTTAGGAAAGAACACCTTTTGTACATATTCAGTAATAAAAGGTGAGCCAGCCCTGCCTCCATCTCCACCACCAGCAGAGCAGTGGTGGGGAAGATTGCCCTGCATAGGAACACAACGTAATTTTCTTGTAAGTTCTTTCTAAGGGAGGGGATAAAGGATTTGATAGAAAGTGGTTTCTGGGAGAGTTTGCAGAAGAGTAAAAGAGAAGAGATCTTGCTGAGATAACAGGAGGCACATGAGCAGCCAGCAATTCCTTGGATTTGTAATAACAGTGATGTTTGCTATTGAATTGGAAGGCATTTTCTGTCCTGTGCTTAACTCACCCCCCCCTTTTTATTATCTACAAAATCTTTAGTGAAACTCTATAGCTAGATCACCCTATTGTGAATGAAAGGAGAGAGTGATTGTCTGGGATGGAATGGGGAGAAAAGTCATATGGAAGACCATGACTACAGGAGGCAAAATGCTAAGGGCATGAACAAGACATTTGGAGGAAGAGGGCACCCACTCAGTGTTACTCCCAGGGAGATTCTTGGACATTTTGAGGGAGAAATGGTGGGAATGACAGTGAGCTGGGACACCAATGGCACATGAGAAAATATTAAAGAAAACTTTACTATTATTTCCTAAAAACTAAGTACAAAACTTGTAAGCCTTTGTTATATTTGGGTAACTTTCCAAATAGTTAATGAATTAAAAAAGTAAATTAATATGCCTCTTATTTTTTTTTTTTTTTGAGACAGAGTCTCACTCTGTCACCCAGCCTGTAGTGCAGCGGCATGATCTCGGCTCACGGCAACCTCCACCTCCCGAGTTCAAGCAATTCTCCTGCCTCAGCCTCCCCAGCAGCTGGTACTACAGGTGTGTGCTCCCACGCCTAGCTAATTTTTTGTATTTTTAGTAGAGATGGGGTTTCACCAATTTGGCTACGCTGGTCTTGAACTCCTGACCTCGTGATCCACCCACTTTGGCCTCCCAAAGTACTGGGATTACAGGCGTGAACCACTGTGACCAGCCAATGATATGCTTTTAAACAAGGGGGAGATTACCAATCTTTATACCTGTGCTTCTATAAATGCTGTTGTGAGTTTGATATTCACAGTATCTATTCAGTAAAAAAATGGGAAGATTTATTGAAACAAAAACTCAATGCTGAGTGATCACATTCTTATAAATCTCTTGGTATGGGAATGTTTTCAATGCCATTTATATATTATGTACATTATATGATGTGTTTGAATCTTCTGGCAAGAAAGTATCCTCTCAAATACTTTGTGTCAGGGGTGATAAGTCACTGTTGGGTGACAATCAGGATTTTACTTACAACAGCTTTATTGTTAATGCATACATTGTACAATTCATACACCTCTTACATAGCTTTTGCAATTCCTTGACACATACTTACTTTTAAATATGATCTGTAAATTCTATGAGATGTCTTCATTTTTGTGTATGATTAGTTTTATTTTTCTGGGTATATTTTCATGTTTATTTGTTGCAATGACCTTAATAAAAATGCTATATAACAGTAGAATCCTTAAGGAATGACACATTACACCAACATTATCCAAAAGAACTAATTAATCAAACACGACTAATTTTAATGTAATTACTAAAGAAAGGTATACATTTTATTATGACACTCTAGCCGTACATTTCAAAATATGCTTATTAAACAGTAAATGTAAGATAATGATTCAATTAGTTATATTTTTAGAAGACATTAGGATTGTTATTCCTCTGCCATAAGTGAATTGAATAATAATTTCAAATGCAATCAGAGTTAATTTAATGAAAAATATGCTTTCAACAAAGACAGATGTAATGAATGGCCAGCGATTATATTCTGGTTTTAAAGTAGCGGGAAATTAATTCAGTGTCTGTAAGTTTATTTATCACACTTAGCCTATAAGTGTGATAAAAATACATGAGGCAAAATACATGATATAATCCCAATTCTCATAGTTCATTAACTCTTTTACCAAAAAGAGATCTGACATGGTATTTGAGGCCTTTATGTAAACTGAATATAAGCTGTATGATATTTGAAAGGTTGTGATATTTTGAATAGACATTTTCGTGATACACAGACACAGATAAAAGATGTAAGTAGAAAGCTTGAGGTTTCAGAGTCCCTCCTGCAGCATGTTTAGCAGCGGGTACAAGATAAATATCCAAACAAAATCAGATTAAGGGATTAACAGAAGTGACTTTTCTATGATTTGGTGAGTGGGGTCAGTGGGTGGCTTGGAGGGGATTTTACAGCTCTGTTTTCATTTTTCCTACTTTACATCAGCACATTTTGGGCAAAATAAAATGAGTAATGTTTACTTTTAGGCCTCAATAATATTAAAGAAAGGCAGTTTCTAAGAATTGTGGAAGATCATTTTCTTGAAAGTGATGGGTAATTCAGCTCAGGTTATTAGGAGAAACTCTATCTTCATCTTAACTCATATTTCAGTTGGGCAGTAACATTTGGAGTTTTGTGTCCTCTCTCTTTTCTTTTAATTTTAAAAAGGTTTGGAGTTTTTTTCCCCTTCAAAGGCCATAGCAAAGATAGTTGAAGAAGGAGGAGAGAAGGACCATGTTTAAGATCAATGTAATCATACATTAAGAGGGGGACACGGTGGCTCACGCCTGTAATCCCAGCACTTTGGGAGGCCAAGGTGGGCGGATCATGAGGTCAGGAGTTCAAGACCAGCCTGACCAACATGGTGAAACCCCGTCTCTACTAAAAATACAAAAAGTAGCTGGGTGTGGTGGTGGGCACCAGTAATCCCAGCTACTTGGGAGGCTGAGGCTGGAGAATCGCTTGAACATGGGAGGTGGAGGTTGCAGTGAGCTGAGATCATGTCACTGCGTTCCAGCCCAGATCACAGTGAGAGACTCCATCTCAAAAAAAAAAAAAAAAAAAAAATGTGAAATATACGTTTTCAATGAGGTTCCTTTAATTCTAGGGTTTCAGCTTGTTCATCCCTCTATTAAATTCTGAGGCAGATACTAAAATAATAATAACTGGGTTGGGACTGGGGCATAATAAAGATAGCTTCAAAAATCTCCTGGGCTTCTGTCTTAACTGTGAGAGGTTTCTTTAAAAAACAAAAGCATTGTTCCAGATAGGAATTGATTATTTAAATTGATACTTTATCCTGTACCATATGCACTTAAAGATTCTGACAGTCTTCTTTCTTTTTTAAGTAGAAACTACACAAAAAAGATATCTATGTATCACTTTCTAATACCTAACAGGAAGGTCTTATAAAATATTGAAATAGCAATAAGCAAATACATACTATAGGATTAAACACTAGCATTGAAAATAAAACAAAAACCAAACCAAGAATCAACAACATTTTCCTTTTGTTGTTGCCCCGACCAGATCTGGACTTTATGATCTTTGCAAGGGAGGGGCATAAAGTTTCACAATTCTTCTATTTTAAAAGAAATGATGCCATTGCATAAATCAGATTTATCTTTTGAAAATATTAGTGGAAAGCCCATGTGGTTTGAATGGAAATATTCTTTCTTGAGAGGAGAACCAAATAGGTTTTGCTTGAATAAATTAGCAAGGTCTTTTAAGATTAAAAATAGCAAAACATTTTAAATAGTCTGATTATAGCTTCAACAAGTCAAACATACATTTCTATCTAGCCTATAGTTTTTAAGAGTCTATGTGGGTTTAACTTATTATTCCTCATTCCAATATAAAAAACTAAGAAAAGAACCAAGTCATTTTTGAACATTAAGAAATTCATAAAGACTGTATAAAAAATCAAAAACAAAACAAAAACAAGAAACAAAAAATCTTCACAGATTGTTAGCCATCTCTTTCAATAATTTCTCATTAATTCTCTCTTTCTTTATCAGTAGGTAACCCCCATCTCATGAGGAAATACTTTCCAACATTTCCCAAATGAGATCAGTGATTGCTTTTCATGAGAGCTACTGCTCTTTGAGATGTCTGGGTGAGGGAGAATATCTTCTACAAACCAGTAAATACCAAAGAGTACCCAAGGGGGATTTGGTAGAAGCTATTTTTTTTTGCAGGTAAATCTATGTATTTTTTCTTTTTGTGTATATTTTCTTCACTTGCTGAATATGTGTTTTAGAGCAGAAAGCACAAAAATCGAGAAGGAACTTAGTTATCTTTAAAATTTTTCTATTTTCCTATAAGATCTTTTTCCCCTCATTTATTCTCCATGCTCTTGATCAAGATGTTCAGAAGATTGGATAATATATTGCTAATTTTGCCAACAAAACGATGGAGTCCTCTAACTTATAAAAATTTCCTTCTCCTGCCCCTGTACCCCCAAATTCACAATTTGGTGAACAGTACACTACTTCTGAGTGATAAAAACTTGAAAGGTGGTGGTGGCTAGATAGACCTAATGCTATTTTATTAAGCCATCTATCTCTAGAATTGTTTTTATACTTTAAAAAAATATGTCTATGCTTCCTTTTTTTTCTTTTTTTCTTTTTTTTTTAGTCAAGTACTTTCTTAAAGAAACAATAGCACCACATTGGCATAGCTGGCCAAACAATAAATGGGAAAGCAAAATATGCTACATCTTTTATTCTAAGCCTTCTCCCAAGTCCATAAAGTAGTAACAGAAACCCTGGAGCCGCAGAACAGGAGATGGTCTAATCTACACAAACACTGACGTTCCAAGGAGAAGAAGGATTCTCAAGGGAGAACAGGCTTTTTGTTTGTTTGTTTGCTTTCAATAAAATTTTCAAGAAGGTGTTTTTTTTTTTTTTCAGTATTCCATTGGATCCTTAGGAGGGGTGTGTGTGTGTGTGTGTGTGTGTGTGTGTGTGTGTGTATGTAGGGTGGGTGTTGAGAAATTTTCATATCCCTAGAAGAGTGGATTCTGATGGAGAGCTGCATTAACTTTTACAGGGGAGCCTCCTCATTTTAAAAAGTTCAAATAATGTTAACACTGGGGAAGAGAGAACAGATATTTGACCTAAGTATTAAGTACGGTCAGTTAATTGGAAATAAGCTTATAAGTTGAAAGCTCATCCTTACCAATGTTTACTGTTCTTTTACAAATATCTTAAAATTGCCTCATTTAAAAATTATAAAGCAATCTAATTCTGAAGCAAAGCTTGTAAAGTTTTGGGTTGTGACATTTTTGTTGCTCTTTTCTATGAAGTTAAAGTCATTCTGCTGTGGTATATAGTAATTGACTGACTTTCAGAGTTTGCATCAATTTGTTTTCTAGTTTTAATTCATTAAAAAATAAAATAACATAATGAGTTACTTTAAATTTGTTGATTTATGATCCAGTTAGAGAGGATTATGTTTTGGAAAAAGTTAAGAAAGATAATGTGGCAATGCATCTTTCAGCTTTCCCCCTTGGGGGATTTTTGACTGTGGATAGAATTAAGTGAAGAAAATAAGTGGTAGACACTCTTAGAATCATCACATCTAACTATGACAGAAAACACGTAAGTCTGCAGAAGACTGCCTATAAAGTTTTGTTGAGAGTAAATAATTTTAAAAGGTACATAATGGTAACAAGAAAATAAAAGAAGTGCCATCTTGGGAAGAGGAGTCTAGTATCTTATTCCACAGAACCCATATGTCTGGAAAACAGGCAGATGTATAGTTTCTTCTACATCTGTACATAGTGATTGGAGCATTGCTGAGCATGCTTGAGGTGCTTAATTCAAATATGTTGGATTGAGAGTTGAAATACTTGTTAACTAAACAGGAGTGCTGGCCCCATTAAATAGGGCCTTCTTTTTGCACATATTCAGAGATCTAGGGAGAGTCTCTCTCTCTCTCTCTCTCTCTCTCTCTCTCTCTCTCTCTCTCTCTCTCTCTCTCTCTTTGTTTTCTGGCCTCTGATCCTGAGGTGACCCAGTGGGAGAAAAACTGAAGATGTTATTTTTGTTTTTCATATACACTTACCAAGGAGGTAAAATACAAAATTTGCATGAAATAATCAAGCCTGGGTGCTTTTAACCAAAAAGTTCTAAGGTGAGTAAAAAGATATGAATGCTGGACAGTTGATTGTTCTGATGAGAAAATCTTGATCTGCAGATGGGGGTTATTTTATAGGCTGTGATGGACCTGTACTAACCACTGGACTTTCTTGATACCAATTTTCAGTTGAATGGATAAAACACATTCACAGAGAGCTAGGGCCTACCCTTCTAAGTGGGAAATTTCTTGTTGTGATAGAAGTTTTTGCCTTTCAGCTGGCAACTCCAGTCAAACATATTATAACAAAATTTTTAAAAGTGTATATACAGCTAAGAATAACAGTAAAATTTGTTAAAGAAGATGACTTTGTGACTTTTTATTATTGTTTTAGTATTTCAAATTTTGGGTCATTTTCCTTATATTGCCTAGAAAAGAAGGAATCATTGTGTTTTTCAAAATGAATAGAATATTATTTATAGTATTAAAAGAGGTTTTACTAGATTTATAGTAACTGCATAGAAGAGTCAGTGAGTGCTAATAAGTAGAGTAATTGATTCCCCTTTCACTGGTAGAAATCTCTTTGTTTTTCTCCTTTTTCTTTTCCTTTTCCTCTCTTCACTTATCTTTGTATTCATAAAACCAAATACAGAATTCAAAATCAAATTGAAAATCAGCTGCTTCCCACATATTTTGAAAAGTGCTTTAAAAGAGATTGAGCTGTTAGCTTTTAACAACTAGTTAGTTGGCCAGTTATTTGGATAGCTTCACTGACAAGAACTGAGATGTCAGGGGTGTTCAATTAATTGATCTCCAGCTACGCTACGAATGGGTTATTTATAGAATTCCTTGCATCTCAGCAACTCAAGCGCTCTGATGTTGCACCCTTACAGCAACCCAGGGTAAAAAAAAAGCAAAACAAACCTGAAGCTTTATCTTTTTAAACCTTATACCACCCCTTTGAGGTAGGTAGATGACATATTGCCCCCATTTTGCAGATGAGGAAACTGAGGCACAGAGAGGTGAAGTGACTTGCCCAAGGTCACACTGGTGAGTCCATGGCACAGCTGGCAGATGTTTGTTTCTTCAGTGAGAAAAAGACTGCTAAGATTCCTAGCCTTCTGCTTTTTCCATTCCACAATTTCCTCTCTGGACTCGCCAGTCCAATTTGCATCAGTGGACTTTAGTGTCTGAAGTTCCTCTTGGAAGGCATAATTAGGGGGACTTTCCCTTCTTTCCCAAATGGATGGAGCTTTCAATACCCTTCCCCTTGTGTCATCTTTGGCTCCAGGCTTCCCCTTTTGTTTTGCTTTCACCTATTACCGTTTTGGCCAGATTCTTTCATAAAACAAACTACAAAATAGCACCATTATACTAAAAAACAGAGTTTTATATACTGTTTGATATACCTTGTATTATTGATATGCTAAATTTACATAGTGCTCTATATGGAAAAAATAAAAAAAGGAAAGTTACTAATCAGGTTGCACATTAACTCCTCATTTGAAGAAACTGTTTTGAGTTGAAGAAACTTTCTACGTTTAAAACATATGCCTAAAAATGATTGGCCCCAAAGTTGCAACTATTTGCATTATTCTTCTTTGTAAGCATAATGTGGAAAAATAAAGCTTTGTGTCTAAAATAAATGCATCCAACTTATATTTGGCACAAATGCCACAGATGGAATCTTGTGGGTTAGAAATTGGTGTGTTTCTTGACTACTCGCTGCTGCTTTTGAGGAGGCCAAATTCGGCAAATATAAAGGTTATGAAGGGAGGTGGTGGGTGTAGACAAACAAGATTATCAGACACTGTAAAACAAACAGCCCATGTTGTGTAGAAAGAAGTACAAGTAGAGAAACAATTCATAAACCACTTAGACAAGGTTGCTCAATGAATGGCTCCAGCAGCCAAGATTCAGAGAGGAATTTAGTGCAACTGGATCTACACAATACCCATGCATTTGTGGCTCTCTAGAGGCAGGGACTAAGATATATATGTGTGTGTGTGTATATATATATGTATATATACATACATATATATATACATATATGGTTTTCTTTTCTATAGAACATTACTGATAAAGGATCAACAGCAATCTACCAACTCCAGGACAATTTTTTCAAGGTGCAAACCTTTTATCAATCACTCCTAAAGACAATGTTGGAATGTTTACTTGTGTATTTCATTGGGGGAAACGCCCATCTTTTAAATGTTATCAAACTTATTTTTTGGTAGGTATTCCAAAGTTTAACAGGTAACTTGTGCAGAGCAAAGCATTCTGCGGCGGCATGTCGCTCTTCACTTCTCAGGAGGGTCTTCCTACATTCTGTAGTTCTTGTTTCCTGCACTCCCTCTACTTGCATTCTTCAGATGTACTTCCTATAAAAAAGGAAGAAAAAGTGACATTAACTTGATGAAGTTTTATTTATTCATCTATTTTTTTTTTTTTTGAGAGGGAGTTTTGCTCTTGTTACCCAGGCTGGAGTACAATGGCGTGATCTCGGCTCACCGCAACCTCCACCTCCTGGGTTCAGGCAATACTCCTGCCTCAGCCTCCTGAGTAGCTGGAATTACAGGTGGGCGCCACCATGCCCAGCTAATTTTTTGTATTTTTAGTAGAGACGGAGTTTCACCATGTTGACCAGGATGGTCTTGATCTCTCGACCTCATGATCCAAGTGCCTCGGCCTCCCAAAGTGCTGGGATTACAGGCTTGAGCCACCACGCCCGGTCCTCGTGTATTTCTTACAGTGGGTCTCAGCCTTCCATGTCTCATGCCTTACCAGATGAGCTAATAGGGAGCTTGGGCCTAGGTTTTCTTGAGAAGGGCATATACAGGTGTACAGGCCCTTAACACTTTTGGCAAACCTCACTCAGGCATCTTCTCTGTATCCCTGGTGGCGTGAATACCACAGATAGCTTTATAATCACACAAAGATGAGATTTGATTCATCTGCCTCTATCACAGATTCATTGATAGGAACAAGATCCTGAAAAATCCAGCCCTCTGGCCTCTGGCTCCTTTCCTAGTAAGAAACAAAATCAATCACATTCTGGGATCATCCTTTGTTGTTTTATTGCAGTTTGTTCTGTTTTAATTTTTGTAAAAAAAGAGACATTTCTTTTTCATTGTTTTTCTTGTTTTCTTCTAGAGCAAGGCAGAGTTTTAGAAATTGAAAATTAGGAAGTCTTATAATTAATTTTGAGTCTATAAAATCACAGACATACTGGGCTAAGCTCAAATTATAGCTCTTTTATTTTCTAGCAATGTAAACTTGTATGAGTGGCAATCTCTTGTGTTTCAGTTTCTTCAAAATAAACAGGGGTGATAGTAATATCTACCTTATAGGATCAAAGATTACATCATATATATAAAAGTACTTACAATAGGCCTGGCACATGGTAAGCACTACATATTATTATTATTAACTCATTATTATTATTATTATTAACTCATTTTTCCTCTCAGTATTGTCACCTTTATTGGAAAGTAACCACGCCAAGACTGAAAGTTCTGGGTTCCTAATCTGGTGCTATCATCACTCATCAACAAGCAGTGATGTTATCTTAAGGATACTGAGTTTTGTTCTGTTTTTTAGACAGGGTCTCTCTCTGTCGCCCAGGCTGGAGTGTGGTGGTACCATCTCAGCGCACTGCAACCTCTGCCTCCAAGGCTTACACAATCCTCCTGCCTCAGCCTCCTGAGTAGCTGGGACCACAGGCATGCACCACCATGCTTGAATAATTATTTTTATTTTTTGTAGAGACAGAGTTTTGCTATATTGCCCATGCTGGTCTTCAACTAGTGGGCTCAGGTGATCCTCCTGCTTTGGCTTCCCAAAGTGCTGGGATTCCAGGCATAAGCCACTATACCTGGCCTGTATATTGAGTTTTGTTTGGAATAGAAGCCCTGTGAGAGCAGAGATGTGTCTGTCTGTTCACTGTTACAGTCCCAGTGTCTAAAACAGTGTCCAGGTTATTGCAGGTGCTCAATAAATGTCTGTAAAATGAGTTAAATGAATGAATGGGTATGAGGGACTCCCTTGTGATATGCAGAACTAAGTCATTATATTATAATACTTTCCCTACAGTTACTATTTTATCCTTGAATATATTTAAATAGCAAACTATGTAGATGAGGAGCTTTGAAATAAAATGAAGGAGGAACTGGCATTTATATGCATAAACCTGAGGTACATTTTTTTCCTTTGGCTTGACCTCTAGCCAGAGATCCCTCTATAGAAGGATGTAATGGATAATTATTGGTACAGAATGAGGTTCAAAACCAAAAACAAGAGTTCTCTCCATGATACCTGGAATCTTCAAATTGTTTCTTCTGGCTAAGGCAGTGAACACCCACACAATCACAACATTGTGAGGAGCTGAACACATTTGAGATTACTCAGACCTTGACCTGGAGAAGGTGAGAGGTTTTAATATGGAGGCTGGGGAAAAAAATCAACCGCCACTCCTTGGAAATAATACCTATTGGTCAAGGCCCATAGGGATCTGGCAGTTTTTCTTACATATGTTTTTCATTTCTACTTGGAACATTAGAGCTATCACCAAGTCCTCCATGAAAGGTAGCTTGCGTTTTATGAGTTGATGGCCAACATCTTGCACTGACTGAGGAGAAGGAAGATGGCATCATTGTGGAAAAGTATTCTTTAAAATAGGTCAGTGACCACTGCAAAAAGGAAAAAAAACTGGTAGAGAGAAACTGGGCATTTGTATAGAATAACTTGAAATGCCATCTGTTTTTAATCCTGGCACTTTCCCCCAAATATCACAAAAGACCACTTAAGATGCATTTGTTGTGGTGCAAAGCATCTACTGTTAAGCTCCCAGTAAACTTGTGTTCTTAGTCTTACATCATGTTCTGTTTTCTGTGTTTTTGAGATGGAGTCTCACCCTGTCACCCAGGCTGGAGTGCAGTGAGGTGATCTTGGCTCACTGCAACCTTTGCCTCCCGGTTCAAGTGATTCTTGTGCCTCATCCTCCCAAGTAACTGGGATTACAAGTGCACACCACCATGCCCAGCTAATTTTTTATATTTTTAGTAGAGATGGGGTTTCACCATGTTGGCCAGGCTAATCTGGAAATCCTGACCTCAGGTCATCTGCCTGCCTCGGCCACCCAACGTGTTGGGATTATAGGCGTGAGCCACCATGCCCGCTGTGTTCTGCTTTGTTATAGGAGTTCTCTAGAAAAATGAGAGAAGGACACGTGGGGCCACAGAACAGCATCATTAATGTTCTAAAACTTCTTGAAACATTTCTGTTCAATTCTCGATCAACACTGTTGATGGTCTGTAGCTCATCAAACCCCCAAAATACATATTATTAAGGATGCCACCTCTCTGCCTAACTACTAACCAAATTAATTCACAGCAGAGAAACACACTAATTTGAATTTTTCCTTTTGTTTTTCCATTTACAAGGCGTGTCAGCTGAAAATAAGATCTTTAAGCATCTTCAATGTCTAAACTAAGAAAATACTCAAGAATGAAATGGTAACAAATTAAAAGAAAGCCTGATAAAGCGTTTAATCTCCATTCTTTCTCTCAAGCCAAGTTAATTGCAAATTTCTACAAGGAAACATTGAGATACCACCTATGCTTCACTCTTTAAATTAGTGAGGGGCTATCGCAAAAAGAATTGAGGTTAGAATGGCCAACCACATACATCTTATTTTCTGTCTCCAATAGAGAGATTCTTTTTCTTTTCTTTCAAAGCACAAGGCATAAAGTGTAAAATCTGAGCAGAGGGATCTCCCTTGGTCTGTTTCTTCTGGGTCTGTCTCAGCATCACAGCAAAGCCATGGGCTGAAACTTCACTTGAGTGAAGCAGATGTTGTGCCAAGTAGCATGGTTCCCGTGCACACACGTGCCTGGTGGAGGCCATTCAAACCAGCTGGGATGTCGTCTGGTTTGCATTTGGCTCTCTTCCCAGGCTGTCACATGTGACTTCTTTGTTGCAGACAATGAGAGTGACAAAACAAAAGCACTCAGGGACTGGGTCTCAGTTGCATCTGTTGCTTTGCTCATTGTCTTAACTTAATTATGCTGGCCACCCTTAACAATGGGTGGCAAGTGGAGGCATGTTAGAAGCAGCCATCATCAGAGCTGGCATCCACCTTTGGTGCACTTCTTGAAGGATTATGAAACTGTCCCACATTCATCCAAGCAAAAACTTTTTACTTTAACAGCTTATCCAACACAAACAAACCAGCTGAAACTGTTTCTAGTATGCAACTAGACAGATTTTTAAAATGAAAACAGTAGTGGGTAAATACTGTTTCCTACTGACACCAACGAAGGTAAGACTATTAAGAAAACATGGAACCTGCAGCTCACTGGGGTGTGGGTGACACAGCGAGACTCTGTCCCCCCCCCCAAAAAAAAGGTAAAGATGGCAAATTTAATATTTTTTACCAAAATAACAAAATGGAATATAATAATATTGTTTTGTTTCTTGAAAAAAAAAAGGTTTACCCTTCAGAAGGAAAGGTTAACCAACTGATTAGGAAATAAGTTTGCAGAGGGTTTAATTTGTGATATATGTGATCACCCATTATGTACAGACACACATATCTAGGATGCTAGAAAGGCCCTGAAGAGGCCATTCACCTTCTCCCATTCTCTCTTGGTTCTTATCCTAGATCCAAGCTTTGCTTTGGAAAGCTATCCACAGGCTTTTCAATTAAGATCACTGTGCCAGGTGTCGTGGCTCACACCTGTAATCCCAGCACTTTGGGAGGCTGAGGTGGGCAGATCACTTGAGATCAACCTGGACAACATGGTGAAACCCCATCGCTACTAAAAATGCAAAAAAGTAGCCGGATATGGTAGCATGTGCCTGTAGTCTCAGCTACTCAGAAGGCCAAGGCAGGAGAATTGCTAGAACCCAGGAGGTGGAGGTTGCAGTGAGAGTAAGACAAAACAAAAACAAAAACAAACAAAAAAACCTGAGGACTAACAACAATGGCAATAATAATAATGTTGCTTAACATTTACAGAGGATTTATAGTTTACGAAATAATCTCACTGAATACTTACAATCACCACGTGAGGAGATACGGTGTTATTCATGTCATTCCATGTACAAGCCAAGACTCGCTAAGATTTAGTAATGTCCTTGAGGTCGCAGAGGAACAAACTGATAGAACAATCGCTAAATAATGACAGTTCCCATTACTTGAACATTTGTCACATGCTGGGGATTGTAGTATGCATGTAAATTGCATATATTTTCTTAAAGTTCTCTCAAGGATTAGTACTAGTGTCTTGACTTATATTTTTAAGGAATCTGAAGCTTAGGGTAAACAACTAGCCTACCTTCTTACGGTGGAGATGTAATAGTGGTTGGAATTTGGACCTAT